TAGCTGAGGAAAGTTATGCAAACATTACAGCAACACCAGTAGAGTTCCTGCAGTAGTGTCAGATTGATCCTTTCATCACAGCCCTTATCTAAAAATGACATTGTGGATACTCATGTGCACATGTGCTGTTACCTATATTCCAAAGAGCACTCAGGCAGTGCTGCTCTTTTGATGGAGATAACAATGATGGAAGAAGGTTTTTTCCCCCTTGAATGGAAGCCCCACAGCCAAATCCCTTACTGCTCAACAATCCGTATTGCTTGAGGTGCAGCAGTGTGATTGGAAAGAGGTGGGGGTAAAAAAAAAAAAATCACTAATTCAGATATAAAGCTTTCTGGCTGATAATAAACCAAAGGTTTACAGACCCCTTCTGCATTTTGTTCAATGTGAGTTTATTGTTGGCGTTCTCAAGGGGTGGACATGCTTTTTAAACCAAACCAAACCAAACTGATGGATAGTTGTGTAAAGAAGACATGTGAATGAGAATCACTGTGTGGATTTGTTAACAGCATAGGAAAAAAGTTTGTATATATAATATCTAGAGATCAGTATGTGTTGTCGTGAGGTTATGCAGGCTTTCTACTTCTATTTAAAGCATCTGCAGTTTTCCATTCAAGCAGTCTGCAGGGTGTCCTCCCCCCCGAAGGTATTGGAGCTCATGTGTGAGGCAGGAAGCTTAGAGTTGACTCAACCTTATCCAGACCTCTGCTCCAAAAGTTGAATCTCACAGTCCATTTCTATGAAGTCCTGAATTCCGCGGGGACAGTAGTAGAGAGTTGAGCCCATCTGTCTTAGTGACAGTGTGAAGGAGCAACTTCCCTCTTTCCATCCATACTAGAATATAGCACCAGCCACCTTGAAAAAGTTACTTGTTTTGCTTGTCACTTCCATCCAGTAGAGGTGTCAGCAGAGGGAACTGTAATTCGAATAAATAACTTTTTCCAAACTCTGACCATTCCTTCTGACTCATTCTTCTTTTTTCCCCTCTTTTGAAGAAAACCAACCTCTGTCAGTCTTCTTCTCCTCCTCCTCCTCCTCCTCCTCCTTCTTCTTCTTTTTGAGCAAAGCTGAAATTCTTCCAGCCTGTCCTTATAAAACAGTGGTTCCAAATATTGAGTCCCCAGATGTTCCTAGACTACAATTCCCAGAAATCCTGGCCAGCACAGCTAGTGGTAAAGGCTTCTGGGAGTTTCAATCCAAGAATACTTGAGGACTCAAGGTTGGAAACTACTGTTATAAAGCTTGTCCCCATTATCTGATTTATTTTATTTTATTTAAATGCCACCTTTCTCCCCGTATCACAACAAATTTAAAAACCAGTATATAAATACCATTTTAAAAAAAAAACACCAATTAAACCTACATTAAAAATAAAAACCAAGATTAGAAACAATTTTAAAATAATAAAAATCTTATGAGTGAAAAACCAGCATTCCTGAGACAATTTGCTGCTTAAAAGCCTGTCTGAAAAGGAAGGTCTTTGGCAATGAAAGGATGAGAGGGAGGGAGCCAACTTGGCTAACCAGGGAAATGCATTCCAGAATCTGGGAGCAGCCACCAAGAAGGCCCTCTCTCGTGTCCTCACCAAACGAGCTTGGGAAGGTGTTGGAACTGAGAGAAGGGCCTCTGCAGAAGATCTTAAAAGCTGAGAAGACTCATACGGGGTGATGCAATCCTTCAAATAGCCTGGACCCAAGCCATTAAAAACCAGCACTTTGAATTGGGCCCAGAAACAGGCAGGCAGTGAAGCTGTTGTAATAAGGGAGTGACATCCTCCCTATAACCATCACCAATCAGTAGTCTGGCTGCAGCACTTTGAAACAGCGAAAGTCTCGGAACAGTCTTCAAAGGCAGCCCCACAGAGAGTGCATTGCAGTAATCCAGACGGAATGTAACTAAGGCATGTGTCACCCCAGCTAGATCAGATATCACAAGGAGTGGGTACAATTGACACACCAGCTTTAATTGTGCAAATGCAATCTTGACCACCACTGATGCCTTATAATATTTTTTGAGTTGCTTTGAGAAAACAATTTTCTTGAACTCTGAGGTCTGTGGGTAGCTTTGCAACACTGGTCCTTCTTAAGCTACTTTCAGAAATAATTATAAATTTTCTTGAACACTGCAGTCTACTGGTGACACTTTCACTTGACAAAGAATTATTTTAAAATGTTTAGCCAAGATTGTAAAAACCTAAAGTTTTAATGCAAGTAGTTTTAAAGGAAGTTGCTGATTCCAACTGTCTTTTATTTTTTAATGGCTACTGTAGGCATATTTCGGTCTTTTTTGAAAAAAGGCAGAATCCCCTAATCACACAGGTGGAAAATGCTGAGTCTTTTTTTCCCCTTAATTGCTAGCTTAACTGTTTTAACTTTCAGACTGTTATCCGTGTATAGTAAAAGAGCAACATGGCAGAGTGTGAATAGTGCTGACCTTATAATGCAGATGATCTCCTGGATAAAATGAGGATTTATGAATGATGAATTTGGAGTGAAATTCTGATAAGTACTCTTCACTTCTAGTCATGCAGGCACCGAAATAATCCAGGGCAATTATATATTTTTGCAGAAGAAGAAACAAGCAAATGATGAGATTTGTAGGTTACAGCTTAAAATGATATCTTCTTTCTAAAGCTGGTAGCATAAATGGAGTCTACTCTTTGAACCCTTTCTATGCATTTGGAGTTGAGCCTTACGATGAATACCAGTCTTAACTAGGTGGTGTTTTTTTAGATATGCAAAAGGTTTGTTCAGCTCTTCTTTTTTAACCATGGCTGTTTCCTGCTGAATTTGAAGTGGTGCATTCGTGACACTGCATTTTGCTGTCTTGTCTTTTGTAGTTAATGCTTCTTTATTCAACGAGACAGGCACACCATCAGCTGATTGGTCTTCAAGTAACTCTGCTGAGATGGTAAGACGAGCGAACGGGCAAAAATGGACATTTGAAATGTCTATGTTCTATGCAATTACACTCTCTCTTACACTCCAGTGCTTCTTCAGTTGTTTGCACATTTACTTCTAATCCTTTTGTTGCTCTAGGAAGGCTTGATTTGCTTCATTTTAAAAATCTGAAATATTTAACTTACTGTATCTCAGTTAAACTGATTGGTATTGATCAAGGATCTGTTATAACATCTGTACACCCTTTGAAGGAAAGGTGAAGAAGCAAATACATTATAGATGCATTAAATTTAACGGAGAGAAATCACTGAGGCTAGAATCCTGTACAGTGGTACCTCGACTTACAAACTTCTCCACTTATGAACATTTCAAGTTACGAATGGCTCTGTTCGCAAAATGTTGCTTCGGCTTGCAAATGGGGCTTCAACTTGCGAACAATGCCAGCTTTGCATTAGTTCCTATGGGAACTAATGCCTCTACTTGCGAACAACGCCTCAACATAAGAACGAAAAACAGCTGGAATGGATTAAATGGTTTTAATGCATTCCTATGGGAAATTTTGCCTCGATTTACAAACTTTTCAACGTACAAACACTGTTCCACTATGGATAAAGTTCGTAAGTTGAGGTCCCATTGTACAGAGTATGGCATACACATTTCCTTAAAAATAAGTTCTATTTGTGTTAGGTTAGGCTCACTCCTAAGGTATATGATTGCAGATTTAGAAGTTTCTGTGCACCAGGTGTGAGCACCTGTGGCTTCCCAGATGTTTTTTGTAATGTAATACTCAGAATAAATCACTGTTGGCTACGCTGGCTAGCGCTGATGGCTTACAGGCCAGAATATCTACAGGACCATACTTGTCCACCCACACTCTGTACTGAGATTGAGAATATATTTTAAGTACAGAGGAGGAGTAGGATCTGTTCGCCATCATCCCAGAGTGCAGGACACGTAATACTGGACTCAAGTTACAGGAAGCCAGGTTTCAGCTGAATATCAAGAAAATAGTCTTAGAACAGTATGACAATGAAATTGATTACCTTGGGAGGTGGTGAGCGTTCCAGCACTGGAGGCATTCAAGAGAAAATTGGACAAACATCTGTCAGATCTGCTCTGATTTGGCTTCCTGACTTGACCAGTGGTTGTATTCAATGGTCACATAAGGGCCCTTTCTCCTCAGGTGCACCCAAGGCAGCATATAGTGCTCAAAACAAACTATAGAAAAACTAGAAGGGGAACGGGTGGGTAGGTCGGTGGGAGGAAACAAAATGAAAAACGACAGCTCAACACTCAGGCAGCCATATTTGTTCATCTCAGTAGCTCCCACTCCCACCCTGGCCCCCCAAGAATTAAGCGCCTCTCTAAATTCTGCCCCTCTCCATGAGGGGATCTGACAATGTTTTACAAAGAAAATGTGGTTTATTGGGTGGTAAAAGGTGATAAAAGGGAACTTTGGGTGGAGGAGGAACCATCAGTGGCTAAGGAGAAGAGAGCCCCAATCCTCCCTCCCCTTGTGAGGAGCCTATGAGGTGAGGGGCACGACCCTGCTCACTTTGTCCTGAGACCTATGGAGAAATGTCATCAAGGCAAGATACGCACGCACGGCGTATTCAGGGACCCAGAACACCACTGGGACTCTTTCAAGCAGCTATTAAACAGCCAAAGAAATTCTGCAAGGCGGAGGAGTGGGAAATGTGCTGAGTATTACAATGTTCTTCAACCGAGTGCCATAGCCTCAAGGTGCTTTTTGACGCTGATGCCCTACTTGCATAGGAAATGACATGTCCCATCGGTTCCTGTGTGCATCAGTAGCCAAAATAGCTGCTGTCTTCTCTTCCTACTTTCCCTCCTTCTCCCCCTCCCCCTCTTTCTCTTGCATCATTAGGGTCAACCTTACCTTCTTGGCTGTAGCCTTTTTTTGTGTGTGGTTACTGTGTCTTTTCATGCATGCCATTATTTCTTACTGTCCTTGTCGCTTCTGTTCCTTCATTGCTTATTCCTGCCAACTTCCTTTCCCCCCTCCTCCTTTTCCTTCTTACTCTTTCTGTTTTGTAATGTCGATAGTAAGTTCATCGAAGGTAAGGGCCAAGTGTAGAGGTCAATTGTCACTTGAGTTCTTGCACTCACCTACACATGGGACCTCATCACGTGTCAGGAGCATCCATATGGATAAGTTGTTCTTTACAAACCATGCTGCATACGTCACCTCATTATTTGGCAGCTTGCACAATCCCTCCTGCACATGTGTAAATATCCCTGGCTCCTTGGCCTTTGGGCTAAGATCAAATGTCATATCAATATCCAAGAGAATTCTAACCCTTGAATTACCATATTTTTCCATGTATAAGACGCCCCCATGTATAAGATGCTCCCACTTTTCTAATCCAAAATTAAGAATTCTAAGTGGGGCTTAGCAAGTTTAGGGGGCAAAGGATGAAAGTGCTGCAGGATTGCTTTGATCCCTGCTTTCCTCTCCATTTGTTTTTCTCTCCTCAGCTTACTTCTGTGTATAAGACGACCCTCAATTTATAGTCTAAAGATTTTAGACAAAAGTATAGTCTTATAAATGGAAAAATATGGTACATCATTCAGAGGTGGAGTGGACAATTAGACATTTTCTGGCCTTTCCCTCACTTATGAAAAGCATCTTTCTTTTGGGTTTGCAGCATAACGGCACCATCGACTGGGCCTCTCTGACAAAGAAGGAGTGCTTGAAATACGGAGGTGTTCTCTCGGGCAACAATTGCAAATACGTTCCTGACATCACCCTTATGTCCTGTATCCTTTTCCTGGGCACCTACACCTGCTCCATGGCCTTGAAGAAATTCAAGACCAGCCGCTATTTCCCAACGACTGTAAGTACTGGATTTGGGGACAGGTGATTTTTTCTTTGATGGAATCATTCTGTTAGGACTCACCTTAGGCAAAACCCCTTGGAAACATAAACTTGATTTCTGCTTCATCCTTTTGATCTGGCCTTAAGCCATAAAGGGAGAGCTCATTCCACTTTTAATCAGTCACCTGATGACCTGGAATTGTCTGCCTCTTCGGGGTGCCTCCAAAGTCTATAAAAGAGGTGTAGTCTGAGTGGGTGGCTCTCGGGGAAGAGACAACATGCTTCTGTGTATTACATCCTTTGGGAAAGGCTTCCCAGCCTCAGATCCTTTGTCTGTGATATCTGTTCCACTTTTAATCAGCCACCTTCTCTCCATTTAGTTTGCTCTTGGTCAAACCAGAGTTAGTCACCTTGTAACGTAACGCTGGCATAGGCAAAGTACTGTCTTATATTGCTTAGAAGATAAGGAGCTGCTCTATCTAGTCCAGTGTCTTCCTCCCCACCGTGGCTAGCCACAGCCCCCTGAAAAACCTCAAAGCGGAAGCCCTATTTGGTGATATCTCTGCCTCTGAAGTTTCAGTTCCCAGCATACTCATCATGACTCATTCTTCCAGTGAGACTGGTCGTCATCTCTGAATCGGTTTCACCTCTTTCTAAAGGTGCAGCATGGACAAGTTACACCAAGTTGTGAATTTGACACGGTTTGATTTTGACTGGGGCCCGGCTCAACGACACAGTAATAATCACTTTGCCCAGAAGTGCAGACATTTTGTGGCCATTACAAAATGAGCCAGCAGTACACAACTGAGCAATCCAAACTCGTGTTCAAGCCTGTTGAACAAGAACCTCTTCGGGGTGCCTCCAAAGTCTATAAAGGAGGTGTAGTCTGAGTGGGTGGCTCTCGGGGAAGAGACAACATGCTTCTGTGTATTACATCCTTTGGGAAAGGCTTCCCAGCCTCAGATCCTTTGTCTGTGATATGAAAGCGATGTGCCCCCCACCCCCTGACCTTAGCTGAAGGCTCTTTTAAGACAAAAATTGTGAATCCTACTCACAAGGTTTCCATTACCTACCGTGGCTAATTGCAGCTAATTGCCAGAGTGTGTCTGATCACATGCCCAACTATGCCGCCAAATGTGCTCCAGCATCTTTCAGTTGATGGCACCTGCTCCAGGCAAGTTATGGCCATGTTACATAAGCAGCATTAGGATTCCAGCCATCACTAACCTCAGTCCTTGGGGTTTGGCACAGGAATGCATGGCCTGTAGCGTCTATATCATGTGAACAGGTTTTATTTTGGAATTGAGACACCTGCACGACACAGCTCATTGGCAAGCCTTTTTATCCTCTCCTATTAGCACAAAGTGGCCCATGGGAAAGGTAGATATTTGCTTTGGTAAAGGTACAGTGGTGCCTCGCATAGCGAGGTTAATCCGTTCCGGATTAACCCTCGCTATGAGAAAACATCGCTAAACAGAACATAAAAACCCATTGGAACTCATTAAACATCATAAGCGAGGGGAGGGCGCGAAAACGCTGCGCGCAGCCATTTCGGGCGTCCGGCAGCCATTTTAGAACCACCAAACAGCTGATCCGCGGGCATCGCAAAGCGCAGATCGGTAAGCAAAACGCTTACCAATCGTCACTATGCGAGTTTTTGCCATAGGGACCGACGCTATGCCTCCGCATTAGCGATCCCGAAAAGGGGATCGCTATGTGGATTCGTTGTTGTACGGTGCGCTCGTTAAGCGAGGCACCACTGTAACCCTCTACTCTACGTATCCTGTGTGCTAGAATCAGCATCATGAGAAATACCCACCAAGATGGATTTAAAGTGCCATCACAAATGTAAAGGTATCCAAGGACAAAAGATGATTAGGGTCATTCACAATCCTCCTTCATCTTTTTTCCCCCTTTTCTTTCCAAACTTTGCTTCCAGGCAAGCTGGAGAACATTTGCCTTGGCTTAAGGCTTTGTTTTGTAATACAGCTAATTAGTATTTTTTAAAAATGTTGCCCCTGACACTCAGCTGCCTTAGGGATTTGGAAGCATCCTGATGCTCACTGTGTGGGAGAACTAAATTGGGCTTCAGTTAGCTTTTAATGAAAGGAGAACAGAGTCCATACCGTAGCTAAACTAGTGTTGCATGGTGACTGCAATTGCAAGCTATAAACTCATAATCTGTTTGAAATAAAGTTCATATAGGCTTAGCAATTGAAGCTCATTGCAACACCTTGTGCAGGTACACTTTCCTTCCCTTCCCTTCCTACATCCATCCAAAATGCAATCGTGCTGGCTAGCTTTGGGTTTTTAACATCTCTACCAAAAGCCTTTGGGACTTATCTGAAATTTCCAACCAGCCTAAAAGTTGGGGAGAATAGAAATGCAGAAAGACCATCCTTTTAGAAAAAAACCATGTTGTGATCCATGCAGCTGTAAAAATTAGGCTTCGTTCCTAGGAAGGTTCCAAATATTAACTTCTATACTTCAATGTCGAGGCTTGCTCTGTGCATTGAACTCTCTGTGCTTAGTGAATACATACATGGGAGGAGGTAGCAGTGCCTGTGTTCCAATTCAAGCATGCAAAGTGCTTTGTTTTATTAATTGCACTCCCTCCATCGCCACTTTCTTCCCATTGCTGGCTTTCTGCCAAGCAGTCGCAAAGCTAGGCTGGCAACAAGAGCCGGCTATTCCAAAGGGAATCCTTAGGCCTGGTCAGGAGCTCGTTGTATTGGAGAGAGGACCTTTGAGGAGTGAAAGAAGAGAAGTGGGCCAAGCACCCGCTTGGGTCCTGCAAAGTGGACCGCTGGGGAGGACCAATTCAGCCCTGGCCTCCTAGTGGCTGATCCTCTACCTTCCTGGTTCAAGACGTCTCATGCCATAAATCCTTTGGGCATCCCTTTGATTTGTCCTCCTTTAGAAGAACTTTTTGTGTATCTTTCTAAAGCTAACTTGGAGCCATTCTTCTTCTTTTTTTTGCAGGCGAAATAAAACAGTTGCTCACCGCTCTCTCTCTCTCTTTTTTTTTCAGGCAAGAAAGTTGATCAGTGACTTTTTTTTTTTGCAGGTGAAATAAAACAGTTGTTCACCGTTCTCTCTCTCTCTCTCTCTCTCTCTCTTTTTTTCAGGCAAGAAAGTTGATCAGTGACTTTGCCATCATCCTTTCCATTTTTATTTTCTGTGGAATTGATGCTCTGGTAGGTGTGGATACACCGAAACTCATTGTGCCAAGTGAATTCAAGGTAGGTCGGCCATTTCTTACTTTGGCAAGAGTTAGGGGACAAGAGGAACCTCAGGGCTCCGTTCTGATTCTGCAATTCTTTGATTCTGGGATCACCATAGATTGAGTCCCAGTTCATATGGACCACTGTGATGGGATGGTTGCTTTGCATGATCTCAGCCTCCATCGTACAGCGTCAATATTTGCTGTTGGAAAGCCATATGGGATGGGTAGATCGTACGGAGATGTGGGACATGGTTGAGTTTGCCCTGTAGAGTCTGGGCCACATTGAAGTGCTGGTCACATTGCAGAGAGACACACGAATCAGACCAAGGAGTTGCCAACAGCTGCTGCTTGCCTTGTGGGTTTCTGAGCTTCTCCTTATCCTCTTTCATCCTCCTCTTTGTCTGTTTCTTAAAGACACCATAAAAAAAAATTGGAAACGGTCCTTGTTGGTTGGATATTCTTTGTGCTGGACCCTTGGAAGAATTACTCGATTGAATTGCAACTCCAAGAAATCTCCAGCTAGCACGGCAGTGCCCTTGCTAGCTGAGGATTCTGGGAGCGGTAGTCCAAGCAAATGATTTTTCCAAGTTCTCTCTCTGGAGAGGTTTGCTTCTCCTTTTTGGATGTGAGCATTTCAGTGATCCTTTCCTTAGGAATTAATGGGCACTGCCTTTTTCTGATAACCCTTTCCTTTTCTTTGCCCATGAAGCCAACGAGCCCTGAGAGAGGTTGGTTTGTCCCGCCTTTTGGAGGGAATCCCTGGTGGGTGTACCTGGCGGCCGCTATTCCTGCCCTGCTGGTGACTATCCTCATCTTCATGGACCAGCAGATCACGGCTGTCATCGTCAACCGGAAAGAGCACAAACTTAAGGTGGGTTTCCTGGTTACATGAGGATGGGAATGCAGAGAGAGGTGTTTTGCTGTGGCACAGGAGCAGATGGCATAAATTTTCAAATCGTTCCCAGTCATTTGGCGTTGGTAGCACTTTTGACATTGAAACTTCCAAGAGGGAAAATCTGAAATGGGTTTTGGCAATAAATCCCCAATGTGTGCTATTTTGGATCAACGTTTTGCTTAAAGTGATGAATTTAGCCACCTAGAGTGGTCTAATTGGCTAGATAGGCGGGATATAAATAGAATAAATAAATAAATAAATAAATTTAGCATTACAGCCTAGCACGACACATCTTCTAGTTCTCCTTCCTGTATGTCATTTGTGGTTTAATCATGCTATTCGACTGTTTGGGTAACCCCGCCAGCAGATTAAAGACCTATTTAGCACGTAATAATACAGTCGGCGCATAGAATGAAATGGCACTGTAAACTGCTTTTTCAAAAATAGTTCATCTGGTGGAGGTATGCCAAGAAGGATGTAAGGATTAACATGTAGGTGTTTGATTAATTAAACACAGGGCCAGTAGTTCATTCCTTGAATTAGCAACCTGGAAAAAAAGCTTCTAAATTAAGACTGTGCAGTGAAATGTATTGTGGCGGCTCTAAGAAACTAGGCCAAATTGTTGTTTTTTTTGTTGTTGTTCAGGTTCTTATAGGTTCACAATATTTCTGTAGGACACCCAGGCAGGAACTGTGTTAATTTAACCATGTGTCTCGCCTATTTTAATATTGTGGGTGTGCATGTCTTAATTTAAAATCCAAAAGGGCAGTTAACTTAGAAAAAAGGGGGGGCAAATCCTGTTCTTTCTTGCCTTGCATTTCTGTGGTTAACCATACAAATGTCTTTTCTTCCTTTGGCTCAGTTAAGATACAGTCGTGCCTTGCTTAACAATTGCCTTGCTTAACGAGGAAATCGCTATACGATTAGGTTTTTGCGATCGCTTTTGCGATTGCAAAACAATGTTTTAAATGGGTTTTTTTTCCATTTACTGATGATCGGTTCCCTGCTTCAGGAACCAATTTTCGCTTTACGACGATCAGCAAATAGCTGATTGTTGGGTTTCAAAATGGCTGCCGGCTGAAGAAAATGGCCCCCTGCTGTTTTCTAGGACGGATTCCTTGCTTTACAGGCACCAAAAATGGCTGCCGTATGGAGGATCTTCGCTGGACGAGCACGTATTCAGCCCATTGGAACGCATTGAACAGTTTTCAATGTGTTTCGATGGTTTTTTTCATTTCATTTGGCGATGTTTTTGCTCTACAGCGATTTTGCTGGAACGAATTAACATCATCAAGCGAGGCACCACTGTAATGGGAGTAAAGTCCCTGGGGAAATGGACTGTGGGAAGATAAGGAGTTGAGCTTGGAAAAGTTACTTTTTTGGACTGTGACTCTCAGGGTTCCCCGTTGTGGTCATATTGGAAGTGGGATTCAGGGAGTAGTAAACTAAAAGTAACATTCCCGTGCTCTGGTGAAGAGGTGGCTCCTCCTTGAAGTTAATTCCTTTTTGCCCTCAGTTTTGTCAGTGAACGAAAGAGGAGGAAAGAAACCCAGCTTCCACGGTCTTAAGTTTTGTCCCTAAGGAGAAAACTTACAGGGGTGTCTCGACTTACAAACGTCCCTTCTTGCAACCATTTCGAGTTACGACCAGTTCCGGTCGCAAAATTTTGTTTTGACTTGCAACCAGAGCTTCAAATTACAACAAGGAAAAGGCAGGGAAAAAAAACCGGGAATTCAAACTGCTAACCATTGGTGGTGAAGAGGCTGCTTCTTTGTAGCCCTTTTCCCCCAACGGTTAGAGAGTGTGCGGCGGCGGCGGCTTCGGACTGCTTCCTTTTCTGAGTGAGTGTGTGTGTTTTTGCAGGGAGGCTTTGGACTGCC